TAAATAATAAAAACAAAGGTCGATCAAATGGACCAATACGGCAATGCCATGATGATCCATTTGGCAAAATAAATCCATTGGGCATCCTTGTTGGTCTTCAGACAACAATTCTGACGGCTAAAGAACCAAATGGGACAGGCGAAAAAAAAAGAAGAAGAAGACTGTTTGCTTTTTGTAACATTTTGCCATCATGATCGTTTCTCACAATACATTATTCTTGTGGTCTCCAGGGATGTGTTAAATATGTTTGTGTGAACAACATTAGGATTGGTTCAAATGTGAAAAGTTATCTCCTCACGACATTTAAAAAAAAAAAAAAAAAAAAAAAAAAAGAAATCCCTTTAAATGTGAATTTGTTGAAAAGTGAAAGAAAACTACCTCTTCAAACACCTGAAAACTCACATAACCTATGGAGTAACTGCCAGAACTCTCCTGCTAAGAAGTGGATGTACCAACCACTGCACAAGCATAATAGTAGGAACTATTAGTACTGACTGGGTTCAGACAAGTAGGCCCACAATGCAACACAAAACAAGACATAACTTCAAGAAAAAAAAAACAAAAAACAAAAAAAAAAAACTTCACACATAGGCATATTTGCATGTTGCATCTATCTTGTTCATGTACATTAAACCACACAGATATGCTTCTACAACAGGACCTTCCATCTTTTCACTCTAATAAACCAAATTTAGGTATGAAAGAAAACCTTTTTAAAGCCTAAGGTCCAGTTTGCGCAGAATAAAAACAAAGACAACACCATCACCGGTTCATCACAAGGTTTGAGAGGGTGGATTTGGTGGGTTTCCTAACCCAGAGACCTCGATCCAGATTCACGGTGCTGGATTATAAAATTTACTTGACCATGTTGTTGCAGCTTTAACTCACACTCCTTTGGGAAAATGACTCTAAATTGAACTTTTATGACCGGTTAAACTGGTTTTTATTTCTAATGTTATTTTAATACATTTTGGGTTAATTTAATATGTATCAAAGTTTATTAGATGATATGTCTTTAATACAAAAAGAAACTAAAGATCCTGTACATGCTTACCTGGTTTAAATAAAGTTGCTCTCTTTCTGTTTCTGCGAGTGCTGATGGTGCAGCTGTAGTCCAGATCGGTCTCACTGTCTGAAACGATCAAAGAGCCGCTGATGTTGTAAAGAAGCTGTTCAGTCAGCTGGACTGTGATGTTCTTGGATGAAGGACTGGTGGACCAGGTGAGTTCAGGTTTAGGATAGATCCCGTCTGAGCTGCAGGTGATGATGTTTTCTGTCCGCTGAATGTTGACTTTTTTGACAGGAGCTGCAAAAGAAAGGGAGCAGGTGTAATGTTCACATACTTTAGGTCTACTTCATTGATTTTAAAACAAATTTTGTGACACATATGTAACACATGGGGACACTAAAGCAGTCGTGCCAGAATGTCCTACTAAAAAGAAAGATTCTTTAAAATACAAGGGGGAGCAAGCGAGTCAGATACCCAGGGCACAGAGATGAAGCAGGGAGCAGCCAGGGAGCACAAATAAAAACACCCTTAAAATGTACATAATAAAATGTTGTAAATTTAGTAAAATTCGGCTGGACTACTATAATTCATTGTTGAGGAGTAGTAGGTGAGGGTTTCTTGAATGAATACATTTCATGTGACTCTTACCATCTATCTTTAGGTTAATAAATGATTCTTGGTTTCCTCTGTCAGTGCTGGTGTAGCACTTGTATCTTCCTTCATCCTGAACCTCCACCTTTGTCAGCTGCAGTGAGGCGTTTCCTGTGGAGATCTGGTCGTTGAACAGTGACGTCCTGCCTCTGAAGCGCTGGTTCTGACGTTCAAGCTGATCTTTGTTGTGGTAGAATGAGTGGACAGTAATGTCTCCTGCTGATACCTGATGCCAGTGGATGACTACATCACGGCCACCATAGCTGCACGGCAACATGCATCTCTCCATGAAAATGCAGGACACTTCAGTATCTGCAACAACAGGTAGAGACACATGATCAAAGTCATCAGAGGTTTTGTGTATTTGAGTTGTTTCTGTTTGGGTTTTCCTTCATTACAGAGTTAGAAGTTTTGATTCTTTTAGTTCAATTTGGATTAATTTTATTTTTTTATTATTCTACTGAGGCTGTTGTGTGTTTATAGAGTTTTAGGTTCCAGTTTATATATTTTACTTTTTTAATCCCAGTTTTGCATCATTGGTTTTTAGTGTTTCCCTGTCTGTCTGATCCTCTGTCACATTCTTTCTGTGTCAGTCACGGTTCCCTTATTATTATTATTATTACTTTGTGTTTGTTTATTTTTTTTGTATTGTACTGTATCAAGAGAAGAAAACGAGAAATAATAAAACACAGGTGCTCGACTGGAATGTAGTCTCGGTCTGCACCACAAACTGTTAAACTATCAGTAAGCTCTTTCTAGACTTGTTCATTAGATTTAAAAGAAGTTTCCTGAACTTTGACCTGAATCTCAGAATTACAGAAATACATTTGCTGACATATAAATTCATGTTAATGTAATTATTAATCATAATATATTATAATATAATTATCTAGAGTACAAATGAAAAATTGTTTAAATAATAATTTTTCACTAATGAAGGAAAAATGTTTTCAAAACAGGGCCTTCCTATAAAGTCATATATCATTCATATCAAAGACGACTGTGTGGATGAATCTTTGCAGTTATT